TCCTCCCAGGTAGCTAATCTCTTGTCTGCTGCGGAATCCTCACCTAGAGAAAAATTACTTATAGACAGGGGCAAGTCAGTGACTTCTGGTCCGTCTTGTAAGGCCCCTGCACCAGTCACTGTTGCCGTCTCACTAGGGCTGTTGTCAAATCTGCGTCATTAGACGAGTCACTGGGGGCCTTGTTTTGCTGGCCCAGCCCTGCCTCTCTTCTGCTCTCCCCACGGTGTCTCTAGATCTCACACAGGCCAGACCCAGTAGCTTACTCCCATTCATTCCAGTTTCACACTTTTTGGAGTGCAGTGACCTACTTAAGTTCAGGGGAAATACAAACCCCTAAGGAAATTTGCTGACAGCTGTTTCCTGGGTAGAATTAGTTTGGGCATGTGTAAGAGAGAAGCTTAGAAGTGTTAAGAATCATTTTGGCTGGGGATAGAAGTGAAAAAGAAGGGGCAGAAGGTTAAAAAAAAAGTGTCAGACTACAAATGTTCCTAGGAAGGGGACTGGAGACTGACAATGGCAGGGAGGGCTGGGTGAGGAATCATTGCTCTGGGGAATTTTGGTTTCCAGTTTAGTCTTTTCCTCAGTTTCCTGCTTGAGGATCATTGCTATTGTTGAGTGCCATGAAGTCAATTTTGACTCATAGCAATCCCACGTGACAGACTAGAACTGTCTGTAGGATGATTATGAGAGCAGAACACCTGGTCTCTCTCCCTTGGAGATGTTAGGTGGGTTTGAACTGCCAGCCCTCTGGTTAGCAACTGAGCACTTAGCCAAGTGCCACCCGAGTTCCCTCCTAAAGTTATACAGGCAGGCCCAAATTTATAAACTTACTTATAGCCTCTAGGTATGAATCAGCCTCCCTCCCCTAAAGTCTATTAAGAACTTCAAACACATATAATGGTTAGTAGTAACTAAGCTAGTTTGTAAAGGGAATTAAAATATTATTATCATCATTAATGTATTATTACATCAAAGATGTTTTTATTGTATCTGGAAGTGTTTCTTTAGTTTTTTTTTGTGTGCATAGAAAGGTTTTCTATATAATAAGACAAACATTTGATTAATTAACATTAGATACAAATCATACCTAAGGTGCACCTGACCCAAGCCATGGTATTTTCAATAACCTCATATGGATGCGAAAGCTGGACAGTGAATAAGGAAGACCATAGAAGAATTGAT